ATCCTGTTCCTAAGAGGAAATGGCTGCTTCCCCTCTTGTTCTTATAAATAATGTCGATGGTAAAGTGCTCTGCAGCAGCACAAACTCTCTACAGCCAGAGTATACAGACCGGGCAGTAAAGTTGGTCTCCTATACGTTTGTTTGTGCCTCACGTGTTTAATGTAAAAGTGAAGGGAGGACATGACTGTAACCCCTTTTTACTCATTACATACTGACATATACAGGAATTATCTATGCTATAAAGGGGGATTTGTTGTGTTTAAGGTGCAGTGTGGGACTTTTAGATATAAATGGATTAAACTGATCATCTCCAGGTTTTTAAATATGGTGTCAACCAGCAATACAGTGTTTTAAACCAAAAATGACGAATCTACTCACCACTGGAAGAGTCCATCCAGAAAGTGATCACTCATTCATCCAACTGGCAAAAACCCAAAAAGTCCATATTTCATAGTTCACCCGTTCTACAGAATCTGATTATTCTACATCTCCATCCTTCTACTCTGTGGACCCATCCAGCACCGGCCAGACTACGAGAGGAAACTCCGGAGGGTCGGACAAACTCTAAACTCGCCTGTTAGATCTTGTCACTTGGGTTTATTCTCGTTGGCCAATCATTGGAGTATTTTTGTTTGCTTCTTTGGATGCCAAAGTTCACTTTTCCACCATATTAGTTTTGGTTCTTGGAGACTTCAAGAGGAGCAAACCAGCCCACATTTCCACCAGTTTTAAACCATTGTAATCGGACAGATGCACCCTTAACAGACGGCGCTGCACAACACACAAGGACCTGTAGAATATGATACTCATTTTGGTTCCCAAGGAAAACCTGCTATTTCTTGGTTCCAGTTGGGAACCAACTTTTCAGGTTCAGAACCAATTTATTTTTGGTTAAAACGCTCCGAACAGTTCAGAACTAGGGGCTTGAACTGGACCAGAGTCTGTTCCATGTTGGTGGAAAAGGCCTCTGTCAGTGTTTTTCCACCAAATTAATTCTGGTTCTTGAAATGGTTCCGTTCAAGATTCTCAACAGATGATGCATCCTAGTACCTCAACAACTAAGGAACCGGCTGTCAGCCAGGAAAACCGGGTCCAGTGCGGCACCAACAACTTTGCTAGTCTAGAACCAAGAACTGCTCACACCAGCTTGGGGCGCCTTGTGGGCAGCCAGCTGTGTATTTATTAGCTGTTCCAAACATAACATTAAGCTAGGAACTAACATTACCCAAGCAAGCACAGCTACTAATTTCAGTGTTTTCTTTGTAACCTTAATGTTCAGTTCAGTAACATTGATATAAAATATTTCAGCTGTTAGTGGCAGATTCTGTCAGAAAGACTTTCTCATAGTCTAAAAACAGCTCTGACAATGACAGGGTTGAATTCAGATGTATGGTGCATTATTTATGTGTTTATGGGACAGAACATGATAAACGTCTATGCAAGCACTGAAAATAAGTATAATATAAATATTACCACCTATTGTGGTGAAAACTGGGACATTTGAGTGTTTTACAGATATTTGTCAGGACTCTGGACACCCAGCTTGAAACACTGAAGCCTGTTTCAAAGGAACTAATCGAAGCACTAAAACTGAGAGTTGAGTTTAATTTCTGTTGAAAAGAATGTATTGTACAACTCTGTTTTCCAGCTGCCCATCACCAGAAACGTGTGAGGTAATTTCAGCTTGTTAATGGATGAATGAAAGATTTCCCCTGAGAAACGAACGATTGTTCAATTGAAAGGTGTTTTATTTATTTTTTTAACCAGACCACCTGAAGGAAAGTTTGGATTATCTGGAGTGGAGACACAAACAGACTGCATGTTTCCCTGGCAGCCGCTCTCTGAGCTAGCTCCAGCAGATTATGTTTCCCCTCATATATATTGTTTCTGGAGGGGCTGCAATAGGTTTATGATTTCACTCCCAGTTTATTTGCACAGTGTTAAAACACAGGAGCAAAGCAATAAAAGCAGCATGATGAAAAACAATGATAACAAAGTGAACAAAGAGAAACAAATGAGCAGATCGGACTGCAGCCGAGGAGAGAGGGGGGGCGGGGGGGGGATACACAGAGCGGAGAAGAAGAGGAGTGGGGGGATGAAGATAAAATGGAAAAGAAGTGGAGAGAATGTAATCAATAAAAGTCGATCACGATGCTGTTAATTTTTTCAAACGTCACACATTCTAAAACCAGACTGACAAAACCATTAAAGGAGGTTTTGTTCTTATTTTATCAAATTAAATAAATCACATTCGCACACAAATCATCCATCAGATTAACATTGATTTCCTTCCAGCCATTTTTTTAAAAATCAACTTTTAGAGACTCAAAACTGTCACGACTTCTCTGTGACTCCGTATGTGAAAGCAGACACTTACCCTCTCTCTCTCTCTGCTCACCTGCTCGTCATCTCCTATCAAACACACCTGTCTGCCATCAGGTCTGCACATCTACAGGAACCCTGTGCTGCCCTCCACTCCCTGCTGGACCGTTGTGCCTCAGTCAAAGTCTAGTTAGCTAGTTAATCCACCAACTTGTTAGTTTTTGTCTGTGTACCAGATACCACCAGCTCCCACCAAAGTGAACCAAGTGTTAGTGCTTCTGGTGCTTCTGGTGCATTTTGGAGTCATTTTTCACCAAATTACCTTTGGTTCTTGAACCGGTTACAGATCTCAGTATATTAGCATGGTATCATTTCTATCAGCTGTTTCTGATTAAACTTAAGCTTTAGATCTCTCATCTGCGTCGTGTCGTCTGCATTTGAAAGCACTGAAATAAAACAATAAAATTTCTTCACACCTTTAGGCCCGTTTACACTAGTGTCTCATATTCAGGTTAAATCCAGATATGATTTAATACTTTCATTCACATTTACATCACAGAGGACCTGTCATTGATCTACCCAGAATCACTGATACCAGGAAGGACTGATTAACTGACAATTAACTGATTAATTGTCAATTATTAAATTCATCACCAACTATTTTGAAAATCAATTAATAATTTTGAGTCATTTCTTAAGAAAAAATATCAACATTTTCTGAAGATTCTCTGGTTTCTTTAGTTTTCTCTGACTGAATATCTATCAATCAAACACTGATCACACAATCTATTAATCGAGAAAATAATCGACAGATGGATCCATAATGAAACGTTTTCACCACGTCCATGTTCGCTAGTTGTTTGTCTGCTTGGTTTTATAAAAAGAAACATCTTCAATGAAGCGAGTGTTCCTGAATAATTCACAGGCAACAAAGGAGGTTTAACTGCATTACCACATGATGTAAGTTTAACCAAACTTACGTAAGAGCCTGCAGCAGGTTTAAATACGTCCTCAGAGGGAGAACCACGATCTATTATCTATCCACAGAGCCTCTGTGCGATCAGTACAGATCAATGAAATCAATATTTACTGGAACACTCTGATCAAATTTATCTCAAAGTGAAATCTCCAGAAATACACTTTAGTTAGAAAGAGAGAGAGAACAAATGGAGGGATACTCCCTAGAAAGAAACAGAGAGTAACTGAGAGCAGACGGGGAGGTGAGGGAGGTGAGGAGAGTGGGAGGAGAGAGGGAGGAAAGGGAGGAGAGGGAGGTAAAAGCCTGGGTTGTGTTTTGCTGCCTGGAGAATCCATTTAAAGGTTGGCCTTTCCCTGCTGAAAACTAATGGAGCTGAAGGAGAGGATGAGGAGGTGAGGAGGCCTTTCACAATAAAAGCCTTCATCCTCAGGTCAGTGTCAGAGATGTACAGTGTCCAAACACTGAATAAAGCAGTTCCACCTTAAAAACTAAAAAAGGGGCTGCAGGCCGAGCTGCTGCT